TACCATTATCACTACCACCACCATCATGATATTAATCCCCTGGTTACCACGAACCCCACCATTATCTTCGCCTCCTCCTGATCTCCTCAACGCCATCGTCATTGCCATCATCATCATCATCATCATCATCATCATCATCATCATCAGCATCATCATCATCACCATCATCATCACCATCATCATCATCACCATAATCATAACCATCACCATCATCATCACCATCACCATCACCATCACCATCACCATCATCACCATCACCATCAGCATCAGCATCAGCATCAGCATCAGCATCAGCATCAGCATCAGCATCATCATCAGCAGCAGCATCGTCACCAACAGCATCTACATCACCATCCACCGCCATCATCATCCTCAGAGATTGGCGCAAGGGCCACCGAGCAGGCCCGACTGGCACGGTCGCCAGACTTGCCGCAGGCAGCTGCATACCTTGTGCGTGGTAAAAGGCGCTACGGGGAGGGGTAAGGAGGAGGGGTGGAGAGGGGGGAGATGGTGAGAGGGAGGAAAGGGGGGAGGGTGGTGGGGAAGGAGGGCGGGGAAAGGAGGGAGGGTAATGCGGGATGACGATTAATAAAAAAATGGGAGAGAAGGATTAGAAACATAGTTTTCTGCTATTTCTGCATAATTTTCTGACTGGAGGAGAAGGATAAAAAAATAGTTTTCCAGCCCGCGGCCGGTTTTTTCTAATCGTCATCCCGGGCGCCGCCGCGTGAACACGACCCCCAGTCATTTATTAATCGTCATCCTCCATTACGCAGTGTGGGGGGTGGCGAGGGGGGGGGGGGGGGACATGGGGAGGGAGAGGGGGAGGGAGGGGGGGAAGGCGAGGAGGGCGTCAGCGAAGGCGGGAGGGAGGGAGGGAGGAGGGGAGGGGAGGGAAGGGAGAGGGCTGGCTGTGCGCTGCAAGCCATCAAGCTCTGTGGTGAAACTATGAGGTGCCAGCTATCCTCCTCCTCCTCCTCATCCTCCTCCTCCTCCTCCTCCTCCTCCTCCTCCTCCTCCGTGTGGTGCACGCCACGTGGTGCGAGCTGCGCGATGCACCCCGCGGACGGGGCGCCCACGAAGGCGCCGGCAGGGCGGCCGCCGGCGGGCGCCAGGTGAGGCCCCACGCCCCCCCCACACACCGCTCAGCGCATAAGGGGCGCCCACGAGGCGCCCGCGTGGCAGCCACCGGCGGGCGCAGTGGGCGAACCCCCCGCCCACCCACACCCACACCCCCACATCCACACACCCCCACACATCCCCCCACACACACACACACACACACACACACACACAACACACACACACACACACACACACACACACACACACACACACACACACACACACACACACACACACACACACACACACACACACACACGCACACACACACACACACACACACACACACACACGCACACACACACACGCACACACACACACACACACCCACACGCACACACGCACACGCACACACACGCACACGCACACAACACAACACAACACAACACACAGCACACAGCACACAGCACACAGCACACAGCACACAGCACACAGCACAGCACACACAGCACACACACCCACACACACACTCGCCTTGTACGCCGGCGGCCCTGGGCAGCGCCCCTGCGCGGACAGGGGAGGCGAGACGGGGCCGCCGTCGAGCGACACACACACACACACACACTCGGCACCCGGGGCGCCCACGGCGTGCGCCCACGGGGCGCCCCCACGAGGCGGCCACGCAGCGGGCACCGGGCGAGACCCCGACACACCCAATGCAGTCACTACTGCGGGACGACGATTAATCAAACAAATGACAGAGAACGATTGAAAAAAAAGTTGCCTGCTATTTCTGCACAATTTTCTGACTGGAGGGGAACGATTTAAAAAATAGTTGTCCAACCCGCGGCCGGTTTTTTCTAATCGTCATCCCGGGCGCCGCCGCGTGAACACGACCCCGGGTCAGTTATTAGTCGTCATCCTCCATTACAGGGCAGTGTTTCTTTATACGTAGGAATTTTATAAGTAAAAAATTCTAATCCATGATTGCTTTATGAATACATGCATGTGTGAACTCATCGTTTTTTGACACAAACTCCTTGCATGTTTAATACATTGATCCGCGCGCAGAGCATGTATTAAAAACGGCACTGTAACGAACGCAGGCAAGAACCACTAAGTGCACGCAGCGCACGAGGGCCAAACCACGGCTTCGTCCCGAGGTGCCAGGAGTGAGGCGGATGCTGTGGCTACGAGTAGTCTCCCCGTAGGCGCAAGCCCCCCCGCTCATCCCCCAAGACATCGGGAAACCTCGACCCTCCGTCTTCGATCCTCGTGGACCTCCGTCCGTTCCACTCTCTCCCACTATATTTTCGAGTGCCCCGGAGATCTCCACGCCTTCCCCCGGGGCTTGCTTTCCGTCCCGAGTCTGCTTGGATGGGCCTGGTGGCCGAAAGAAAACCATCCCCAGGGCAAAAGATAACAGAAACTACTCCAGATTTCGTAATAAAGGGAGGGGGGTCTCATTTCGGGGGGGGTCTCTTCCAGGCCATCTCGGAGGGCCTGGGAGGGTCCGGGGACGACGTTTTGGAGGGTTCTCCCACGGGGGGGGGGTCTGAAATGGCTTGTCTGGGAGGGTCCAGACCCCCTCCCTTTTATTACGATATCTGGAGTAGTCAGACCATGTACGGTAGGTTCGCGCGGCGTCGGCGCACGCAAAAGTTTTTGACACCGCGTCGATCGTTCAACCTTGAACCGATCGCGGCCCCGATCGTTCAAGGTTGAATTCAGTCGGGTCCAATGGCGTTACAATGTCCGTCGGTGATTCCGCGTCACAGAATTCAACCTTGAACGCATTTGCCGGCGTCGCTGGCGCGCCAACGCCGCATGAACCTACCGTATCTCCTCCGAAAGTTGAAATCAGCTCGGAATCGGCCTCCGGGCTTCTCCCGGGATCTATCCCTGGGCAGACTCTCGAGCTGCCCGCAGCCCTGGCGACGAGCACGCCCAGAGAGGCCCCGAGAGCTCGGGTGACGACGGCGTGCAGGTGGCAGGGAAGACTCAGCGGCCCTCTCCCTCCTGCCCCTCCTCCTCCTCCTCCTCCTCCTCCTCCTCCTCCTCCTCCTCCTCCTCTCCTCCTCCCCTCCCCTCCTCCTCCTCCCCTCCTACTCCTCCTCCTCCTCCTCCTCCTCCTCCTCCTCCTCCTCCTCCTCCTCCTCCTCCTCCTCCTCCTGCTGCATTCTGCGGGGGGCGTTCGGGGCAGAGCGACAATCCTCAACCATGACGCTCTGAAGAGCTGGCGGCGTTCAGGCAGCGGGCGGCGATGCGACGAGGAGGCCGCGTTCGCCCCCATGAAGACCAAAAGCGCTCTCTGTCTTCAACCTCTGCGGGAACCTCTGTTTCGGCAATGTTTTGCCTATCGCGCTGGTTTTCTTCGGGAGCGGCCAAGCGGGGGGTGTCCAAGAGGGGGGGGTGCAAATCATGACCGGCGGCATGTGCGCGGCCCAGCGGGGGGGCCAGGGACGTAATGAAATAAGAAGAGGCGCCACGAAATCTGGGGAAAAATCATGGCCCCCGCCATGATATCCCCCCCCCCCTAGTCATCACCCCCCTCTTTTCCGCCCCCGATTTCTGTATTTTCCCGTAGCTCACGTAGCTGATTTTCCCGGCGCCTCCCGGCGCCAGAGGCGGCCATGTGTCGAGGAATGGGCCCCTCGGTGAGGCCGAAACCAGCTGCATGCAGCAAATTTCGTACCCCCCCCTTTCCCAATCCCCCCCTGTCGTCCGCCCCGATTTTCTGTATTCTATCCACAGAGGCGCGCGTGCGCATCACAAGTCGG